CATGTCTCATTAAGAAAGGCTTTTGTTATTTTATAGAGTTTCTGAAAAAACTGGTTTTCATGAAAATCGGAACTTCAAGAGTCATGGGGATAAATCCTTTCACGCTTTTTACTATCTAGATATAGGCTATCGATTGATGTATGTTCGAAAAAAATCGGGATTTGACAACTGGGAATGCTCACTCGTAAGTATATAGAAGCGGATACATTTTGAGAATATGCTGAACAAATTACAAAGCCATTCCATGTAGTATTCGAGAAATATTAAAAAAAATGAGGCGTTAGTCTTTTGGAACACGAAAACTCACTAGAAATCACGTAATGATTAAGGGTATAATTTTTCTCTATAAATCGACAACAGATTAATTTGTTTTTAGCCAAGCCGGTTTGGTAACGAGATCCTTGGTGCCTAACACCTAGCCTTAGTCTGGGATTGATGCATGCCCATTGTAAAACCAATACTGTACCCACATTGTGTGGACAAACATATCAACTTTCAGATGAATAAAACATCTGTTAGGCGAAAATCTCAAAAGAATTCTGTTAGAATTGATGGGTTCAGTAAATCTGTTTAGTGGAACCGTATCGCAGGGAAACTTGTTTTATTGTGTTTTGTTCTTAGGTAAAACACATCGTATTAATACAAAATATAAAACGAACAAGACAACATGTATTAGTATTACTGATAAAATCAATTTATCGACACTGACAAAAACATTTTTATCGTTGAATACGGCAGATAATATTCAAACCGTGTACTTGAACATATCTATTCATTCACCATTCGAGGAATTAAACCGAATTCTGTTTTCATTGTTTCTATGCGGTACACTAACTGATTTATCAAGTGGTTTGACATTTTCACTATTGAAAAATAAAAGATTCAAATTTATTATCGAAGTGCCTTATATGGAGAAACTGCAAATGTCAGTGAAACAAAATTTTGATTATTTATTGCCAGTGTTATCAATTGTGTGTCAAAATCAATTAGAAGAAGTAACTAATGAAAATTATCAGTTGTTCATTGGTGATAGCGAAGAACTAGTAGCTCGATTTCTGAAAGGTAAGACACCGGGAGTCATGAGTTGTGATCAAATGTTATTTATTCAGTAGTGGAAAGTGTTTTTTCGTACGTTTTCTATGCTAACGTGTTATATGTTATATGAATTCCCAAAAAGTAGCAAACACATTTTTCTGTATTTATGGCAATAAGAATGTTCTTTTTTTATTAGCCTTTGATGATAAAACAATCGATCGTATGCTAATAGT